GTGTAGTCTGAAAGCAATGGATGTAGTACAAATACATACAGATGTCTAACAAACTACTGTGTATGTTGGGGAAATGGCAAGGTGTTCTCTATTAGTCATGTCCAACCTTAGGCCCATCTTTATTTTGGCCCTCTTTAAGAAAAAGTTATAATAAAAATATAAAAAAGGAAGTTTTACTACTTATATACATTCACAGTGTTATATATTTTATATGTGGCCTCAGATAATTCCTCTTCACTCTAAGAAAAACAAAATAAAACAAAAGGCAAGCTGCAGGTTGGGTATGCTTGCAAGTTGTATTAGCCCTACTTTAAAGGTCAATCAATGATCTCCCCCATTTGGACCCATATTTATTGAACTGAATGTCTGGGTTAGGGCCTGGTTACATGCTTGTCTAACAAGCTCTACATAGAATTTTCTTTCTTTCTTTCCTTTTTTTTTTTTTTGGTACTGGGGATTAAACTCGGGTCCTTGCGCTTGCAAGGCAGGCCACTGAACCGCTGAGCTAAATCCCTGGCCCAGCATTTTCTACTCTAAGTTTTGAAATCTATTGCTTCAATTTTTTCCTGTTCTACATTTCTGGTTTTGTGAGTCTTCAAGTATCCTTCAGAGTTATACTATAGTTAAGTGGCTATCAACTAGTTCTAATGTGATAAGCAACATGACTGGGCCATACAATTTCATAATTTCATTTAGGAAGAGAAAAGGAGTGTTAGTTACACAAAGTCTGAGGCAAAGACAGATATGGATACCACATTAAGAAAACTACTCATAATCCAAACATGTTGTTTCATCTAGCCTTTTCTCTTGGTAAATGATAAAAATGTTTCCTAGTTAACAAGTGTAAAGTTAGCTGGCCTAATTTCATTTGTTTTCCCTATCCTTGTGCAGTCTGTATCGGTGCCATGTTACAAAACTGTGAAAAGGATCCAGATAACTCAGAGCCTGAGCAATGAGTCCTTGAATACCAAGGAAATGTACCTATTGCCAGGAACATGGAACTAATAATTCTGGGAGTAGTTTAGTCTACAACGTAGCTGCATACAGAAGCAATCTCTCACCTAGCCAGTAGGTGGAGTCACACACAAATGTATTGGCAGAGCTTTTTGCTTCACAGAACTAAACGTTATAGCAATTGATGTTTTGGGGTTTTGGGTTTGAGAGCAGGAGATCACGGGTGCAAAAAACTGGGAAAGGACAATTATTAAGGTGAATTTATAAAATAACGACACAAAAGAACTGTTGCATATTTCAATTTTGTTTCTGGCCCTTTTGAGAAATAAGTTATTTTAGGTATAAATTTATAAAACCTACTTCCAGATCCCTAGAGTTAATAAAACAATTCTAAATTTAGAAATATGTCATTTAAAATTTATGTCCAATCAGGGAAAACTGAACATCAATTGAACATGATATAATATCAAGAAATTACTGTTGATTTTGTTAGGTGTAATAGTATTATGGTCATTTTTAGGTCCTTATCTGTTAGAAATATAAACAGACATATTTATAGGTAAAATGATATTTCTTTAGAAATCTTGGGGTGGGAGAGACAAGAGAAAAGGACAGTTTAAATAGGAATGTTAAAATGTTTTGATAACTGTTAAAGCTCAGTGCCTCTATATTGGCATTCACTATACTATTCTCTTTTCATTCAAAAATTTCCAAAATCAAAGGCTAAAAAAAGAAAATAGGAAGTCATGTTCTAGTGATTTTTTCTGCAGTGCTGGGATTAGAACCCAGGGCATTTGTACTGAGCTACACCACCACCCCCTTTTCAGTTTTTTATTTTGAGACGTGGTTTTGCCAAGTTGCTGAGTTGTATGGGCTGGGCTTGAACTTGTGATTTTCCTGCCTTAGACTCCCAGAATGCTGGGATTAAAAGAGTGCACCGCCTGGTTTCTACTGATTTGGGTTAATATTAGGGTTAGGTCACTGGTATTTAAATATCTAACTTCAATGAGGTCTCATTTAAAAATTTTTATTAGTACATGTTTGCAGTACATAATGATTACATTCACTGTGGGGATCTTATTTCAGTATATGGCCACAGAATTATTTTAATCAACTGCATCATACAAAGCTAGCTATAATAAGTTCCATGTCGACTATCTCAACACTGAAGAACTAAAACCCACATTTTATGACACCAAAGACCATCTTCTTTCCACTATACTTTCATCTGCGGTTCTTTGATACAAATAGCAAACACATCAAAATTTTGGAAAATTTAAAAATTCTTTCTGTCCTCATTATTTTATAGTATATTATTAAATCCACTTTTAGTTTTCTGAAAATAAAAATATGGACAGAAATAGATTTCTTGAGTAGAAAATAATATTAAACTAGAAAAGTCATTTTGAAAGTATTATACTACCTAAAATTGGAAGGGACATCAGAGACCCCTCTCTAGTCAGAAAGTTAAACCTTATCTTAGCCCCTTGGATGGATCCAGCTCCACTCAAGCATCTCTAGTGAGAACTGTGTAGTCTGTGGGTGCTTGTTTCATTCCTGGAGTAAGTCTCATCATGAGAGTCTTTCCATACTTAGAGGTGAAATCAGTTATGATCTGAAACGCTACACTGAATGAGTGCATAATCTCATATAACACGATCTTTCAAATAACTGAAGACACTGCTTATTTTCTACCTTTGGCCTTCTGTGCTGGAGACTCTCACAATAAGAAAACCAACATATTTATAGGGATAAAACCTACAGGCTTTTCAAGAACTTTTCTGAGCCAGGTATCTTCAATCTGGGGTTCAGGTATGTCTGAAGTGCCCAACTCTTTCCAAGGGACACATGAATTGGGATATTTTAAGGCAATGATTTTCTGTATTTTCATTTGCCATATGTGGTCTGTCTGAAAACAAGTCTCTGGTCTGCTGTTTTTCTTTTCACATCTCCACATCTCCATTCAGCCAATTCAACTGGTTCCCTTTTCTGAAACGCCTGTCTAGCTTCAAGAGACAGCTGGGGAATGCACAGCTCCTGCGGGAGGGAGGCACCCCTGGGAGCAAAGCAAAGAGACTTTAAGAAAGAAAGAGGTCTCACCTTACTTCATATAGCAAACATGCTCATGGAAAAGCCTGATCTATTTTAGAATTTGAAATGAACAGTAAGGTGTGTCACTGGGATGTCTATTAACATTTTAGTTTTATTTGAAAAATGAAGTGAGATTTTTCTTGACAGAAAGCGCTTCTGACTTGGTTGAGTGACAATGAAAACTAGCTTTGCCACATAGGTCACATAGTAGACATCTCCCATAAAGTGAATGAGATAAATATGCAGCTCTATAGTTGTGAACAAAATATATTTGACAATATTCAATACCCTGAAGATGATTTTATCACAATACAAGTTTTTATATATTAACTTAAAAATACACGGGACAAGCGTCTCAGTTTTTCAAAATTCTATTAGCAGGTTTCCCATTTAAGATTTTGAAGGCTATGACTCTATGACAGAATTCCCAGGCTTTTTCCCATTCTGGTTATCTCCTTCTGCAGTCACTCTGGTGTCTGGCTTACTAGGAACACTCCAGGGAGAAGGAGCAGGGAATGGAAATGTAGAAGCGTGGCTTTGTTAGTACTAAATACTGCTAACTAACGTTCCTTCAGGGCTCAGGTGCTGCTGTAAATGACTAAGTAAGATGTTTACATCTTTTTTCAACTGAATTTACACTGATCTTGCATGTACACATTGGAATGAAGTGTCTATATAAACAGGTCTTAAATTTCACCTTTGTTTTAGCTCCATGACTACAAACTTGTAAGATATTTTGAATTGTGATATAGATAGCCAATTTGCTAGCTAGCCCTCCGTGGAGAGAAATTTGTGAAATGCCTGCTAGAGACCCCTACCTCTGATATTCAGGGCTAGATTTACTGATTCATTTATAACTAACAGGATATAGCAGAAGTAGTGGTGTGTAATTTCAGAGATTAAGTTATAAGAGTGGGAACACCCCCACCCCATGAAGCCCGTGGCCATATTGCTCTACTGTTCTATGGAGAGGCCTATGTGACAAGAAACCAAAGGATGCCTCAAGCCAACAGCTCCTAGGGAACCTGAGGCCCTCAGTCAAACAGCCTGAGAAGAACTGAAGACTGCTACGAACCATGTGAATGATCTCGAAGGCAGATCCACCTCATTGCCTTAAAATGACTGTGGCCCTGGCCACCACTTTGTGAGAAAGCCATAGCCAGAGGACTTGGCTGACTTGGGCCCACATTCCTGATGCATAGGAAGTGAGACAATATATTTGCTTTGTTTTAAGCCACTAAATTTTGGGGTAATTTGTTATGAATCAATAGATAATGAATATACCCTCTAGTCTTATTATCTTTTGAATATCTAGCAAATATTTCCTCCTTTTTTATCTTCCTAATCAAAGTCACTGATTAATTCTGAGCAGAATAGGATCAAAGAAAAAACCTTGCAGGATGTTGTCCATAAAACTTTATACAAACTCCTTGGACAATCATCCAACCAGCTGTGGGCTACTCAGTTGTACTATGGTTAGCTCATATTTCACTATCTTATGCACAAAATTTCTGTGAAAAGCATGTTAAGTTGCTTAGGAAATGAAGCTACAGTGTAGCTAGAGAATTTTCCTCACATGCCAACATAATGATTATATCCTAAGGGGAAGTTACATGGCTATCACTGCTGCCAGAGTCTTGCTACATGGACACCTTCACTCTCATACCACTCCTATTTACTAAGATGCCTCTGCTCAGAAATGCATATCTTGGGAATTCCTACCCCTTTGAACTATTTCCTTTTTTGTAGCCTCTTCTTTGAAGGTAACTGAATATGCTTACCTTTTGCTTCCATTGCCATTGTAAACCTTAAGATAATATTTTTTCCTGGACTTAAGGTCTTTCTAAACAGATAAGTTCAAAACTACTGCTAAATGTTAAAAGAAAAGTCTTAGTACTATTTAATACCAACATTGCTTAAAACTTTACTCCTTAAGAAATGAAGTACACACTCACAATTCAAAAACCATGTAAAGCATTCCATCTGAGCTATATGTCTCCAATAACTCTACAATGTGTGGATGTTTCAGCATATGACAGATACTGGCTTCCCGCTTTAGATCTGCAAAACAAACATATAACATACTTCATTAGGTAGGAACAAAAGACAGTTAAGAGTGAATGATGAATGAATGGATGTGATCTATGGTAACATGAAGACTTCTCTAACTAAAGAGATGAAATCCCCCATTTTAACTAAGTTTAACTTTTTACCCTTTAAAGTCTTTGACAATATAACTTTCATATTTTTGTCAGCTTAAATCTATATACAAGACTCATCTCTTATGAATACAAAAAATTTTTTTGGTATTGGGGTTCAAACTCGGGACCTTGCGCTTGTGAGGCAGGCGGCGGCACCACTGAGATAAATCCCCAGCCCAGTTTTTAAAGTGTATAATGTTTGTATTACTTAAGGGCTGGGGATTTAACTCAGTGGTGCCACCGCCTGCCTCACAAGTGCCAGGTCCTGAGTTCAGTCCCTCGTACAAAAAAACAAAACAAAAACAACAATCCCCCCAAACAACAAAAAGCTTTGCCCCAAAGTAAAATAAATATATACTTTCCCCAAACTCTTATAATCAAGTTTCAGCCTCCACATTTATAACTCTTCTTGATCTGCTAATAAATAACTCAATTTACAATCATCAATTTTACTTGCTTTTCTTAATTTTCCCTAAATCAGATAAGAAGGTATTGTCTATTCTTGAGATGAAAATCCAGCATTCCCAGACATATCAAGGAAATTACATGGAATAGGAAGCAAAAAATAATATGGTTGAAAAAGAAAAGGCACTATTCTTACAGTCAAAGTCAGATTATTTTTTTGAGAGGAGGTATTGGGGAATGAAACCTAGGACCTTGGACATGCTAGGCAACTGATCTGTTGCTGAGCTACATTCACAGCTCTGAATTTATTTTACAATATCTATAAAATGTATTGGATAATTCAGGAATCTACCCCTGTCACAGTATGATTCTGAAGAACAATTTCAGATAATACAGGTAAAACTTCTGTATCAGATAAATAATTCTATTTGGAATATGAAAGGAATATCATTATCATCATCATCATCATCATCATCACATTAAGACAGCTTGGGCAGGGCCATCACTTGCCTTTTTTTACATGGAATACGATTATTAAAGCCTTCCAGTGCTAAAGTGGTGGAGTTTTACCTGTCTGTTGATAAATAAAATCAAATGTGATGTTTCTATATTTGAAAATAGAAGGGAGATACGTAAGGAAGAACCAAGGCTAAGGATGCATTGCACAAAGCAAAATAGAAAACATGATCTTCTCTGATTTATTAATTCAACTAATCTTGCCAAGAGCTATGGATTCAGACAGAGCCTTAGAAGGCTTGCTTATATAAGGGCAGAATGAAAAAAATATAGTAGTAAATTCGATAGAAGAGAAACTACGAGAAAAGGAGAAATTAATACTACAGTATTAAGAAAGTCAAAGGAAGAGAGGAAATAAAGTTATATATAATAGGAGAAAGTTGAAACCTGAGAAAAGGCCATCAGATTCAGTCAGAAAAGGTTAAGAACATTCTGAGCTGGATGAAGTTCTGTGGAGAAGTCTGGGTCAAAGTTAGCATTCAGGAGTCAATTATCTAATAATAAATTAAAATTTATCATATCTCTCACTGTGATAAATACTTGATATAGTGATTGTCATTTAATATCCTGACCCCTGGTGAGGTAGGTACCTTGCAGATGAGGAAATTGAGGTTTAGAAGTACGTTTAGGATTGTATAGCTGTCACAGAGGTAGGCAATGAACCTGACCTGCATGACTCCAAAGCCAGCAGTCTTTCCACCATGCCATGCTCTGGGTTTGGACACGAGCATATCTGAAAAACCTGATGGTAAAATAAGAATGGCAGGGTCAAAGAAGACTTTGTTTGCCTGTTTTCCCTGCAGAGGAAACACCTGGTGTAAATATAGTGGTGGGGATGAAAAGCCCATGGGATCTGGAGTCAGAAAAATCAGTGTTGGTCCTGCCTCTTCCCTGCTACTTGCAGGCTTTTCCCCTGCTACTGCTAATTTTTCCAATTAGCCTCCGTATAGACAATGAAATGAGGACAGAGACAGGTGATAAAGTACCTGAGAGTCTATTAACTGGCTTCCAAGGGTAGTTGTAAGATTCAAATGAGAAGTCGCATGTGAGAGAACCATGTAGATGGAGCACTATATGTGTGAAAGGGGTCAAGGGGCCCCAAGGTGAGCTGGGTGCTGTGTTCATTGTAGAGGAAGACATCAGAGGCACAGGAAAAATGCTATGTCTAAAAGTAGTTGGGAAGGCCCTGCAGGAGAGGAGGGTATGAAACAGCCAGCCGTGGGGTTTGTACAGAGAAGTCATAACCATGAGGAGGTTTTTAACAAGTGTGCTGGAGGGCCAGGCTGAGCCAGACAACATCAATCAGATGCCCGCAGAGTTTCTTCTCTCACTTCAAGAATGTTCTGCCTCCTGATTTTATGAAAAGCTTAGGAGTTTTATCACTCATTTTTATGTTTATCTCTAAGCTCATTTTATTAGAAGTCATCCTTTCTCATTTTTTGTTTTCACTTTACTCTTTTTCTATTTGTCTCTGTTCTGATCGAAAGTGATTTTAACGCAATGCTCTGACATTGCAGTCGTGAAGTAAACAGATTTAATGTTTGCCATGGTGAAAACTGATTTCCTTCTTTCCAGTTGATTTCCTATATTGCTCCTTATATGTAAGTACAGTGTGCTTCAATTCCCACATATTTGCCATATGACATGCTGGTTACACTGAAAGTTTGTAAGAAGAAATGGGTGCTCTAAAGACCCTTCCATTTGAGCCACACATTTCAGCTTGTACACAGCTGAACAAACTCTTGCTCTAGTCTTATTACCTACCCTCTCTCTTGACAAGGCAAAATTGCTTGAGGCCCTGTATTCCAGGACTAAAGCGATTTAAAGCTCACTGGATCTGACATTTCGGGGACTAAAATCAGAACACTGACTGGACAGCACCAAACAACATAAAAATATACTTGAAATAATACGGACAACAATGCAAAAAGATGCCTTATGTTTAGGATCACTGTGGTACTGCTTACTGTACTTCAATTAACAAACAGCTCATATAGAGAAGCACAATTAAAAAAAGACAAATGCATTATGTGTGCATTTTACTTAGAGTACAAAAAATTGTTTGGGAAATATGAATGTGAATTATATGTATATTTTGAGGGCTATTAACTCCACACTGAAATCGCAAACTGAAACTACTATTTGCTACCAATCAACTCATGATGTAGAGTAAGAAGGTATCTGAAGTAAATGATAATTGATGTAAAGTTGTGATTATCTGATTGCTTACAGATATTAGCACAGACCATGCCTGTGAGTGACATGACCCACAGTGATCACCTTTGTTCAAGTGCTGCTTTGTTGACAGATTAGGAAGTGGAAGGTCTCTATACTCTTTTTTTTCTTATTTTATAATATCTCAGGGAAAATTTAAAAGAGTTTTTTTTTTTAAAGTTTTAAATCATTTCTATGTTTAGAGGTAGGTGTCTATTTATTCAATCAATTCAGTTCTCTTTCAAAGTGGCACTAGTGATATGGAAAGCAATATTTCATTTTCTATCTCAAATCAGAAACACTTAAATTAAATCAACCTGCTATACAGTATTAGAACTACTACCAATTTCTAAGAAGTCTGGGCCGTCCAACAACTGTAAAGCAAGTATGCACCCAGGGTCTTCCTGTCAGACTTTCTCAAATAAGTGAGAGTTAAGGAAGTTGTTTCAGAAGCCCAATTGCCCATCAACTGGAGACTGGATAAAGAAGATGTGGATTATCTATAAAATGGAATACTACTCAGCCATAAAAAATGAGAAACTAGAGACATTTATAGCTAAACGACTGCACATTGAGGCCATACTCTTAAGTGAAATTAATAGGACACACGTGTAAATACCGAATAGTTTCTCTGGTGTGAAACACTAAAAGTGTAAATAAGGTTCAAGTGGTAGAATTGATAATGTGAAATAGGAAGAAAAGGGCTAAAGGAGTCGGGGAAGTGGGAAGGACAGGAGAAAGGAAAGAAGGGGAAAGAAAAAACATGAGAACAGGAGAAAATGGAAACAAAGTCTTTAAATAGGGAAGGGTAGAGGGGGTGAAGGGAGGGCAGGGGAATGGGGCAAAAATAAGAACCAAGACCTGTCATGTAAAGGTACAAGATCCCAATGATGAATGTAACTGTACTGTATACCTAAAAAGTACCAATAAACTCAATGAAAAAAGTACATAGCTACAAAAAGGTTGTTTCAGATTGCTAATTTTAAAAATAGTTTTCCTGAAATATTTTTATTATTTACTTTACTACTATTTGTTTTTGCTATAGCAGCACTCTTCAACAAATATATGAAAAAATGTTCAAAATCTCTAGTCATTAGAGAAATGCAAATGGAAACAATATTAAAATTTCATCTTATTCCAAAAAGAATTGGAATCATGAATAAGTTGAAAAATAACAAATGTGGTATGACTCTGGTGAAAAAGGAACCCTCCTACATTGATGATGGGAATGTAAACTAATACTAGTATAATGAAAATCAGTATGGAGAGTCCTCAAGGAACTAAAATTAGAAATTCCACATAATCCATCTATAACTCTTCTAGGTATCATTCCCAAAGAGCTAAAGACATCATCACACTACAGTGAAACATGCATATCAATGTTTATAGCAGCATAATTCATGATAGCGAAGTCCTGGAAGTAGCCTATATATCTATCTACAGATGATTAGATAAAGAAAATGTGGTATCTATCCATAATAGAATACTACTTGGCTATAAAGCAGGACAAATTTGAGACATTTGTAGGAAAATGGATGCAGCTGGAAAATATAATGTGATGTGAAATAAAACAGACACACAAGGTTAGATGCCATATAGTATCTCTCATTTGTGAAAGGCGAAGTACAAAGAGCACTATAAAGAATAGATAGAAGGGAATAGATCTCTTGCAAATGGGAGTCTTGGAGACTGAGAGTGACAGAAGAGGGGGGCCTTGAATTAAGT